GCCATGCATGATGGCAGTTCCCTTGGTGATGGAGAATTGCACATCATCCCGGGGCCAGGCCAGGTTGTTGCCTTGGTCCCCGGGGGGAGGAAGAGCATTTGCTGAGGGAGAGGAGGAGGAATGCTCTTCGACAATGACGAGGGGGGCGTCCTTCTTCTCAGGGCCCCCCTTCTTTTTCTTCTTCTCCGGTGGCACCACACCCTTCCCGGCTCCTTTCCTCTTCAGCTCCGCTTTGGAGCCTCCGGCGTCGGTACCGGCACCAACGGCTTGAGAGGGAACCTCTCCCCCGGGAACCTGAGTGGTCCCATCCTTCCTGAAGAACTCGTTGACGGGTTTCTGCTTACCCGCCTCCTTCCTATTAGGCTCTTTGGCCAGCTTTTTCTTGAGGGCTGCGAAGTTGGAGACATCCATGCTTACACCTGCAAAACAACAACAGAGTCAGACCAGAGGGGTCAACTACAAAGGAAAGAAAATAAGGAAACTACAAAACCCTAAGTACAAAAAACGGGACCCTCCGGTAACTACCTCCAATGCTACCGAGGGCTCTCTCGAGGACGGGGTACTGTTCGTCTTTTTCACCCAGAAAGCGATAACGCCGAAAGCCTAAGGCCAGCAAATCTTCCGGGAGAGTAGAGTCCTTGACTGTCACGTGCTTTGTGGCCCCCGGCAGCAAAGCAGCAATCTTCTTCCCCTCCTTCTGAAGAGCGGCACTTCCCACCTTCGGATGCCGCCGGAAGTGGTTGCGCAGTTCCCCCGGAAACGGGTTTTCTGCCATCTTGATATAACAGAACCGGTCCCTCCACCCCTTGTGAGACGAAGGCACATCATCAAAAAGCCTCCAAGGGGCAAGCTGCTGCAGGTTTGCAAACCCCTCGGAGTTGGTATGTCCCCCCCGGCACAAGTTGAAGCTTTGAAAAAATAGATCAAGGGTCGCGATTACCCCGCGGGCCCGGCAAAGCTGAAGGAAGCCTGTAATGTACGAGTGGCTATTTGGGGTGAGCTGACAAGGGGCTAAACCCACGTATCTCAGATATTCGAGAAGGAAAGGATGCAGCGGGAACCGGAGGCCCATGGCTACCGACAGCACATGGACGGCGAAACATCCTTCGGGAGCCTGGGAGAGGAGATCGTTGGGCCCCGCTTCAATCACCTCCGCCGAGGGGCCCACATGCAGCTGAGTAACGTAGCACTCTGCCCGGTCAGCCCTCGACCTAAGCGCGAGGGCGGCTGTATTCAGCCAAGAGTGTCCCTCGGGGATCCCCACGGGCTTCCCACAATCTGCGGCAGGTTGCTTCTTCTTCTTCTGAGAAACCTTCGCCTTCTTCCTCTTCTTCCCCACGGCAACGCTGAGGGGTTCTGGATCTAGTGGCCGGGAGGTGCTCGCCTCGCCGGCACCACGGAGCGGGAGGACAGCAATTGTGACCTCTTGTCTCTCCTTCTCTTCTTCTTCCTCAGCTACTTGAAGGGCGAGGGCCATTTCTTCATCTTCGACAACCTGCTCGAACTCCTCCGCCTCCAGCTCAGTGCGAAGGTTATTTTGAACTTCCTCGGCAACCGCTGAATCGTTGTTCGCCGAGGATTGCGCACTCGAGGACTCCACGTCCGAGTAGCTTCCCTGTTGTGCCGACGGCTCCCCCGAGATATCTTGGGAATCGCTTTGCGAGGACATGATTCTGAAGGGAGAGTAGGAGAAGTATGGCTGAGGGGGACTACCTAAATGTTCCTACCGAAGGCTCCTAAGACCTCTAACACAAGATCTAAGGGAGAAAAGCGAAGTATGCTAGTAAAGCGAAGAACGGGTGAAGAACTGACCTCGAAACTTGGGGTTTGATCGAACAGGGCTTTCTCTCTCTAGAAAACAAAAGGGCAGAGCTTCGCTATCACAAATATCGCACAAGGAATATGAGTTCGGGCTTGGGGTATTTATAGGCTCCCAGCCTCGGAATCTGGGCTTCAATTTAAAAAGGCCATCATTACGGGCCGCCGGTTCAGCCAATGGATGGCCGCCGCCCGCCTCCGACCAACGACTACACGCCACGTCAACTCCCCTTCCAACGGCTATATTACAACGACTATATTTCGGCGCCACTGGGGTGCCTTCGAATGATAGCCTCCGGCTATCACCCACCACACCCCACGGACAATTAATTCCACCGAACGCCCTCGAGCCCGTAGCAGCATAAGCCTTCGGCTTGTCAATATACAACCCCTCGGGGGATCATCAACTCATCATAACTCCTTCAGCCCGAACTCGCCTTCGGCCTAAAGGAGTGGGGGACTGGCATACACCCCTCGGGGATCATACACACCAAAAATTTCTTCATGCAACAATTTACAATTGACGCATACGACCTCTGGGCAAACATCACAGTACAACCCCTCATCACAATACATGCAGACAATACATCTATGCTTCCCTCAGAAAACCCTCGACATGTGGGGGACTGAGGGAAGCCTTCGGCTAACAGCAGAAGATAAGTGATCAGTCAAAGGCACCCAACAAAACGATGAAAGCTTTCGGGAGAATCAACACAATTACTCCTTTTCCCTCAAGTACCTTTCGGCAAAAGGAGTGAGGGACTCCTGATGGAGTATATGGCCCAGGAACCCCCGGCCCATAGACTCCTATTTCTCCTACACAAGTCCATTGAGCTCAGGAAACAACTCAGGCCCAAAAACAACGGCCCAAGCCTCAAAGTGGCCCAGAATACACACTGGGGTGCCTTCGGCCTCCTTGGCCGAAGGCTTCAAAACTCACAGGATAGCCTTCTCTGGCATAAGAAGCTGCTGGGAGAAAAACGGGCGGAGACATAAGCCTTCGGCATTCTCATGCCCTCGGCACCAGGGGTAAGCCTTCGGCTGAACCAAGCCTTCGGCCACACAAGAAGCCCTCGGCTACACAATGAGCCCTCGGCTACATGGGGAGCCCTCGACTACACGAAGAGCCTTCGGCTGAACAAGCTCAATCATCGAAGATTCCTTTTAGAGACAGCCAACCACCGCATTTAATGCCACGTCACATCCGCTAACCGCATTCAATGCGGTTGACGTACCACTGCCGGTGCCACCAGGCTGATGTGACCCTTCGGCCGTTGGATTACTGACACGTGTCCTCTCATCGCATTTATTGCTGCTATAAATAGCAGCCCATTTCTCCTTGTAATGGACAGAATCTACACACAACTCCATATCTCGAGTTCATTGAATAAAATCGACTCTCTCTCCTCCTATTTACTCTGACTTCTCTTTAGTTATTCCCGCAATAACCCCTCGGATAAGATACCCCCGGGGTAGACGACCCATCACACCCGATCAAGGTCCTTTCGGATCGACCTCTGGGCGAAGCTTTGAGAACCCCCGGGACGACGCGGGTCGTGAAGTGGTCGATGCTTCTCAACCAGTATGAGGTGGACTTTTGGCCTCGATCGTCCATCAAGGGACAGGCACTTGCGGACTTCATCGTAGAGTGCACGGCAAGGGAGGTTACCGAAAGGCAGAGAGATAGTAAAGAACACTGGTGGACCTTGGCGACTGATGGATCGTCCGGGACTAAAGGCTGCGGGGGTGGGATCGTCCTCACCTCACCTGAGGGATTCCGGGCGTACTACGCCTACCGCTACCTATTCAAAGTCTCGATTAATGAAGTTGAGTATGAGGCCCTACTGTCGGGGCTGCGACTGGCTGTGGCTATGCGGGCGGAGTGGATAACGGTGAAGTGTGACTCCCGGTTGGTCGTATCTCAAGTGAAAGGCAATTTCGAGGCAAAGGAAGAAAGGATGGCGATGTACTGGGATGCCGTCCGGGAATTACTCGGATTGTTCAAACAAGCAGAGCTGATCTGTATTCCGTGGAGCCAGAATGGGGATGCTGACCTCCTATCCCGTCTATCCCAGGGGCTACCCGAGCACATATCCAAGATTGCTCGGGTCGAGGAGGTGACGACCTCGAGCATAGCAGCCTCACCCTCGGTAACTGTGCTTCCTTTGCAACCAGTAGCTTGGAGTTGGGTGGACGATTTGCTACATTACATAGCCGACGGTACGTTACCCGACCAAGAGGAGGAAGCGAAGCTCGTCCGGCGACGGGCCCCGAGCTATGTCGTCCTGGACGGAAAGCTGTACAAACGATCTTATTTAAAATTAAGATCGTCAGCGGACGGTAAGCTCGTCCGCTGACGAGTGTGACAAGTGTATCTACATAGGGATTCCGCGAGTCAAAACATAAAGCTCGGCCAATTTGATGTTCGTATGGATCTGTCCTAAGGCGACTGTTCATTGGCATCGGTATCTGTTGATGCCTTATCTTAGAGACCACGACTAACCAATCCTTCTGGCAAAGCGACTTACAACTTCCGAAAGTCTTATTTAAATATTTTTTTAAAATTATAAAATGACTAAATACACAATCATATTAGGAATAAATGATTTTATATCCATATTGTTTGAAAAAATTTATTTATTTTTGTTAGAGATCACTATTGATTTAATTATATCTATATTATTCAAGTTATTTTAGGAGAATGTATTACTTTTTAATACATGGCATGTTGAACTACTTAAATATACTAAAAATAATTATTGTTCAATATTGAACATGACATCAATAGATTATTAATTGCATTTTGAAACATTTTAATAATGGATTAAATATGTCGCTAGTAACACCGATTTAGTGTATTTTATTAGTCTATGGTAATTTACCGATACCGTACTGTTATCGTACCGAAACTTCGGTATACCGAAACTTCGGTTATATAAATTTTGTATACCGAAAGTTTTGGTACGACAAAGGTATGAGAGAAAATATTCGGTATACCGTACCGAACCACCCCTAAACATAGTATAGAGTATATTTTAAGTAAATACGGAGTAAAATAAGGCTACGTAAGACACTGCATAATTATTTCTTCTCATTTATTAAGAAAAAGATGCTTTGAATTTCAAATACTACGCACGACAAAAAAAATCAAATACTACATATATAATTATATAAATATATTAGTTCGATCGTGCATTACATGATGAAAAGCTATAATAAGTATCTCATACTCCGTAATCCGTATCTTCAATATACGTTTACATTGATCGAACAACCATTTTATTAATTTGGCAGTTTAATTCATTTTTATTTATTTCACGGTTATTTGGTTAACCGTTAGTGGTTAACCGAAATTTGGGTTAACCAATCCCCGGTTAACCGTCATGGTACCGATAGAGTGATAGTTGTATTGAAAATATATTAACCGAACTATCAGTTAACAGAAGTTGGTTAACCAAAAGCGGTTAAGCAGCGTGCCCACCCCTTGGTCCTCAGCCAATCGGCCATTCCCTCTGTGGATCACCGATATCAATTCCTTCTATCTGCTGTCGTGACCTCCTCCGATCCCACACCGGAAGAGATTTTATAACCCGCCAGCCTCGTCAACCTACATATCGGTAGGTTTTCTTATGATTTTTTTCGTCAAGGGCATGTTTATGATTCATACAAATCTATCCTAAAACCTTAAGATCTGGTACTGATTTCATTTTCCATTCTTTGATAATATAGAGCACGGATTCTTACTCACCAACACCTTGACGGTCATTGAAGTTATGTTTTAAATTTTTTAAGAAAATAAGTTTGAGAGAATTCCATAAATAGGAGGAAAAACATTTTGAAATTCCAAAGCATGATACTCCTGTTTTGGAATTTCAAAACGTTTTTACTCCTATTTAGGGCAATTTCTGACTAAGTTTCTTGTTTTTCCTAATCTTTTGAAATTTGTTAGATTAAAAGATTTTTATTTATTCAACTAGATACTCAAAGTCTCAAATAACTCTAAAAAAACTAGATACTCAAATAGATTGTTATTCCTTAACCTTCCGTTCTTACTTTACAGTTTACACTACCCATGTGAACTAACTATTTCTACTTACTACGGAGTACTAAAAAACTGATTTTCCTGCAATTAAGAGCAATAGTAACTAACTAATATGACTCAGCGTTGAAATCAAAACAGTATTGAATCCCCTAAATGTAGTGTTTTTCGATCCTCATCTCACTTAAACAAATATATCACTTAAACAAATACTTCCTCCGTTCCCTTTTAATTGCAACAGTCAACATTTCACGTTTGCCAACACACAAGTTTGACCATTAAAATCTTTGATTCCTTATTAGTAAAAATTTTAAAAAATTCATATTTTGAAAATTTAGAATGAGAAGAATTTAATAATATTTTTTAAAAAATTAATTTATAATACATTAATGAATAAAATATAGACAAAGTAGAATATGTGAACAGTGCAAAAAGTCCAATGTTGCGATTAAAAGAGAACGGAGGATAGTATATGCTAGTTGTTGAATTTTTTATCACCCTAAATCAAACAGACTGTTATTCTTCACATCCTATTCCCACTATAAATGCATTTCAACTAAATTAACTGTTTTACAATAACTATTGAAAAAAACTAAGATAAATACTACTCTGTTATATATGGATAATGACTTTTCTATAATTAAGGAGCAAACCTATCTAACTAATTTAACTATCCTCACTCACTGCACACACACACGAACTAACTCTAAGTGGAAATAGCACTAAAGTCTTGCGGTAATCTTTTTTGAAAATTCAGCCCACTTAAACTATATTTTGTAATGCTAATTTTGTATTCTAGTTCTCAAAACACGCCTTCTGCAAGATTTTCATAAAAATATTTTACCTCTAAACCATTCTATATATATGCTTTCTCAGTGAAACAAAAATTAACCATGAATCGAGTTAATTGTATAATATACATGTATAAGTTAAAATTTGTGTGTAAGCAATGCTAATTGCTACACATTAAAGACAAAGCTTCTGAGACGTGGATTTAGTTAGTTTAACTATTTCTTTAACATTCAATCAAAAGTAGTTCTTTATCCTTAACTTGAAACATATAAAAATCATTCATTATAGAAAAATTACTTTTTCAGTTTGTACTAAAAAACATTAGGTTTACACATCACTCACACATAAGGTGATATTTTCCATATTGCAGACTGAGAATTTTAAAAGAGGATCAGAAGAGGCAGACAGATTGATTTGTATTCATTTGGAAAGTTTTTGCTAGGTAGTAGTAGAATAGTAGATATAGAAAAATGAGTGATCTTCTCATGAAGAAAATACAAATGTCTAGAACAGGTTTGCGAGATTTGTTTGGCTAAGAATACACCTGTACCAATAACAGGCTGTTGAGATTTTATTGGCTGAAAATTGACCGTCCCAATGAATAGGATGGCTAGATTTGTTTGGCTGTGTTTTTTACAAATTTAATTTTTTAATGTATATTTTCTACACGTTCTCCAAGGCCCAAGCAACATGCTGTCAGGACTTGATTGGGGTTGTTTACGGTGTGTTCATTGATTAACTTTCATCAATGTTTCCACTGTATATGTTGTCTTTATTAGTTAATTTTAATTCTTTGTAATCAAAGTCTCCACTTTAGCTTATGCAATTTTTTAGTTGGTATACAATGTTGTATTTAATAGTTCTACTTTTGAGGCTTTTATATCGTGGAACGGTGGATCCAGGAATGAGGTGTGGGGTGAGCTAAGTGGTTAATGACCTCCTTATTTTATATACCATCAATTTATTGCTTGCAAATATACACGAATTACTTTATTTTAATTATTATCTAAATAACTGTGCCATTTTTTAAAGAGAAGTTTAAGTCAGGACGTAGGTAATAATATTTAAATTAGTTTTTGTAATGAAAATGATACGTATCAAGAAACAACATCTCAAACTTCAAAAACTAAATTTGAATATGGTAAAAGGTTATTTGTATAACATCAGAGTTTTTTTAGGGTTAAGTTGACCACATGATTGTGTACAGGAACTTTTAATTCCACGTAGCATATAAATTCTTAGAAATATTAACACATCTGAGATAGTCACAAATGCTTTTATGGATTAACGGTTGTTAGATTAAATATATTCTAATGAACTTATTTTCAGGAAGACACCCCCCCCAATTCTTGACTGAAGAGCAGTTTGACAGTAAAATGCCTTATGAACCATCAATGTCTGCTGAGAAAAGAGGAGCCTCTCCTGAGGCATTAGCTGAAGAGGTACCAAATCCGAAGAGAATAGAACCATCTGTATTTGCTGCTTCAGGAGTGCCTCTCTATGCTTCTTTTACTCAGCTTGTCAATGTAAGCATCTGTCAAACTACTTATTCTTGGCTTGGCTTTGTTGGTAATATAATTTCGTGTTTTTAATTTAACTATCTTGCTATACAAACAACATGAGTAGTAATAGTAAGAATTACTAAGTTACAATTGCTGTTATTGTTATCATATGGAGCAAAGTGACTATTAAGAACTGCCGATATTTATTAATTTTGCACCCAAAGTAGTGTGTCAATACTCAATTTAGTCCTACATTCCTAATTTGGTTAACTTTGGTCCTCAACTTTTAATCCTTTACCAAGTTTAGTCCTCTATAGTTTTATTTTTGGTAAAAATGGCGAAAATAGTGTATCTACATCTTTAAAGGACAAAAGTAAGACTAGCTTTATATTTAAGTTTCTTTAATTTCTAATTCTTACCCAACTACCAACCTCTGTTCCCCTGTACGATGTCCTACTATGTGCTCTAGGGTTGGCATTTTAAACCGATAAACCGAAAACCGAACCGAAAAACCCGAACTGAGCAATAAAAAACTGAACCAAAATTGAACGAACTTGAACGGGACCCGAAAACTGGGATACGAACATGAATCGGTTAAAGATGGGGTTTTGCCTTTTTAAAATCGGTTCTAACCCAACCTAACCGAATAGTTAAGGACTTAAGGGATATTTAATTATTTATTTCGCATTTCCGCAGCAAAAGTAAGTATTATAAGTATATAAGTACTACTTTTAACAACTTGTTGATGCTGTTCAGTAGTTTAGCATAGAGCTCTGTGCGCACGCACCAACGTTTTCATTTTATTTTTCTAAAACTTTTGAAAAGTTCCTACGCCGATTAAAACAGAGGATTTCCTCCTCATTTGTGCCTATATATTCTCCTTCGAGAGAGTCAGAATAGGTATTCAAGGATGCTTCAGTGCTCTGCATTAGTCCAATATTTCAAAATTCATTCGGGTTTTCATCAAACAAAAAACTGACCCGAAATTTAGGTTTCCGAAAACTTGGGTCTCAATAATATTCGGTTCGGTTGCGGTTTACGGAATTTGAGAAAGTGAAAAGTCTATTTGGTTCAGAATTTTTCCATTTTTGGTTTGGGTACCAAACCAAATCCACCCCTAATGTGCTCTAGTTGCATCTGTCGGCGGTTGTTTTTGGAACCGCCACCGCCAGAAAAAATTTCTGTTTGTTTTTTTTAATTACCCCAAAAAAGAATCTGGACAGTCGCCTTGAGCCTTATATGGATTAAGGTCTTAGTCTATAATAAGATATTTATTTGAATTAAGTAATATTTGTATATGAGAATGTTTATTTTTTTAGTAAATTAAATTACAATTTTTTTCCAATCAAGGTGGGTTCGTTCAATTAATTACTAGTATCTCCTAACCAACATGTCACTACGACAGTTGAATTTTTTTTCCCAGTGAAAATTCAAAAAGAATCTTGTGAAACAATTTTCACTAAGGATACTTTTCCGGCGGTGGTTTTTGGAATATAAATATCCGAGTGATATTTACTTACACTGGCGGTTTCTGGCGACGATTGCTGACAGATGCGGCTGGAGCCATCAATGGGACCGGGGTGGGTAGTTGAGTGGGAATTAGAATTAATTAATAGAAAAGTATATTGTATATTAATTAAATTAAATATAATCGCAATTTTTAAAAAAGTGAAAATTAATCATGTACGGAGTATATTTTTGTCTTTAAAGGGTGTAGATGTACCATTTTTGCCATTTTTTCTTGAATAAAAAATTAAAGGAATAAACTTGGTAATGAATTGAAAGTGAGGACCAAAGCCTACCAAATTAAGAGTGTAGTACTAAATTGGGTATTGCCACAATACTCTGGGACTTTTTCTGGTATTAACTCTCGCATATATTATCTTTCTTGTTTTGAGCTAACTTTAATTTTATTCACTACTTTCATCGAGTGTGATTATCTTTGCTTCTATTTAGTTTGTTAGTCCTAGTAAATTGTATTCAGCCTTCCATTCCCCATATAAAAAACCTATAGTCCACATTCTTAAGTGATAATTTCTTGTCATTCATAATGCATGTCAATGAATATGGTTGCATGAAGATGCTCTCAATACATATATCAGTCTCTCATGGACGTGTATATTTTCCCATTTGCATTAAATGTAGGATCCATCCATCAATAATCTGGCTCAAGAACTAGCAGTAGATCCGCATCTTATTCAGATGGTAACAGATCTCCTGGAACCCCTCCAAAACGATGGAAATGAACATGTTATCTGCAATCTTGATGCCTGGAAACAATTCGCATCATTGCAAATTTGGCAAAATCAAAAGCACTGTAGAGCATTGAATCAGGTTTTATACGTCAAACTATTACTTTATCTAGTGTTACCACCCTCAATTGAACGTTCTCATTTTTTTCCCCAGTGTTTGCGACCATGCCCACTTGAGACCGATCCAAAGCAAGTTCAAGTGGCTCAACAAATTGAAGAACAAATGTCTTGTATCAAGAATAATGCCTCTTTCAAACCTATATTAGGAGATAGAGAGCCTGTTGCTATGATGAGGTTCTTTCTCTATAATTCACTAGTGATGTCTAATTTGTTATGTGATGAACTATTGATCATCTCTCTCAAATAAGAGACATATTTATGATCAACTTGGCATGGCATTGTGCAACAGATGACATTGGATTTATTGACCTTTTGCATTTGTATATTTGATATGCTATTCTTGAATCACAAAAAGAGATTGGGCCTTCTTAACTGTTATTTTACACGTGAGCACATCCATACTACATGGACTCCTATCATATGTCATGTCCACATGCTCATGCTTGAACCTAATCTAAATGGTGAAGCTTTATTTTTCGGTGAAGCTTTATCAAATTATTTTTATTCTTAGGAAAGCTTATTTCTGATACTTGAGCTTGAAGTATGGGCATTTTTTGTCAAGTTACGTTTTCTCATCGTTGCTACAAGAACACCATTCAAGCTTTAGCCCTGCTTAAAAGTTAATCAGTCAATTGTTCATGAATGTTGATATTTGTAGCATTGAGATTCCATTTTTTTTTTTCTAGGGCGGCATTGATAATTTTGATCACTTCTTGGAGTGGAAAAGATGTGATTGGGGATCTGCCTGAACCAATGAATACGGATGAGTTGTGTGACAGTGATACTGGTTGTGAATCTACATCTCCTGACAGCGGCTGTGATAGTGAATATATGACATCTCTTGACAGTGGCAGTGATAGTGAATCTACGACATCTCTTGACAGTTGTTCCGAGGTAAAGTATTACAAAATCTTCTAATTGCTCTTCCCTTAAAAATTTATTTTTCCATCAATGGAACACATGAGATGACTCAACAGGGTCCATTTAAATCAGATGTGCCAATTCTGTCGTTTGACTCCTTGTTGTGGGCCAATGTAACTTATTTAATTTTTTTGACAGAGTGATTTATTTAACTATTGATGAAGAATCTGAAACTGTAAATTTTAATGAATTTGTTAAATACGTATCATGCTGTATCTTTGGTGAATTATGTGTGGTTGCCTAACTTTTTAATTTTTTTAGCTCTTAGTATTCAAGTCAGAGAGTGGTGAAGCAAATATGATTCCTCTACTTGTTTATGTGAGTACTTCTTTTGTTATTCTTACTTGCTTGCTTTATTTTTTCATATGTATTTATATATAAGTATTAAATTTTAATTAATTGAATTGTTTATTTATTTATTTATTCATTTATTTACTTACGTTGGTACTTACGTGCTTATGTTCGTGCGTACTTGCGTATTTATTTATTTATTTATTTATTTATTTATTTATTTATTTATTTATTTATTTATTTATTTATTTATTTATTTATTTATTTATTTATTTATTTATTTATTTATTTATTTATTTATTTATTTATTTATTTATTTATTTATTTATTTATTTATTTATTTATTTATTTATTTATTTATTTATTTATTTATTTATTTATTTATTTATTTATTTATTTATTTATTTATTTATTTATTTATTTATTTATTTATTTATTTATTTATTTATTTATTTATTTATTTATTTATTTATTTATTTATTTATTTATTTATTTATTTATTTATTTATTTATTTATTCACCTATTCACCTATTCACCTATTCATCTATTCATTTTATTTTATCCATCCATCCATCAAGTTTACACATTTATACATTTGTGCAGGGTCCCTCCCTCAAGTTTTTCACTGATAAAGTATTGAAAGATGAGGCAGCTGTTCAACTTTTAAATGAGTTTCTTGGTACACTTTTTGTCAATTCAGAACATACCTGTAGTAATCCTGCATTGGATCATTTTGACAAAGTAAAAAAGATTTGGGGACACCGTGACTTTCTTAGAGTTCTTTTAAAGGTATGAATATTTATGGATTTCATTTTTACTTGGTGTACCAACTATACCTGTAACTTAGGCATCTTTCTTTCCTTACCACATTCATCTTTTCTTTTACAGGAGGAGGGTGTCCCCTATCCAATGAAGACATGTAAGATTTTAGCTAGCCGCAAACTGACCGAATTCATTGTACCTAAGATTAGGAGTGATCCTTCATTTAAAGTTATTGTTCAATATACGGAACCTGCAAGTATGATGAGGTTCTTTCTGCTCCATACGTAGATGAATTTGCATGACTATGAATTTGATGATGATATGCGTAATTTAAACAACTATGTGGTTTTTTATATCTCATCTGCTTCATATTTCATCAATTATTCAAGGAGTGCCTTGAGTATTATAATAGGATTCTGGGCTAATGAAGTTGCACTTCTTCCATTGGTTTATACAATGGGTGGTCGTGCTTTCGGAGTAAAAAAAGTCATCGGAGATGCCCTTCCTAGTTTTGTGAAGGTAGGTCTCCTAAGTATCATTTATGCTGATCATTTCCGAAAGCTTTAAAAATTCCCTTTCTATCATTTTCTCTATCTTACCAGTTAAAGTTAAATATTTGTTGTCTTACTCAAGTATATCCATGATTTCTACTTCCATAGTTGCCATGCGGTTATAAAACCTCCCTCGCTATGGAAAGTCCTGGCAATGACCATGTATGAGGCGATGCCATATTGGTGCCATCGCCACGCCACGTGCGCCATGCCGCCATATTAAACAGATCTAAACATATTTACTTGGTTATTTTTGGGCTTTGGCCCTGATTAATTAATTAATGAGTCAGTTCATAACAGTAATAAAACCCTAATAAGAAATTAATCAGTGGGTATTACAATTCTTAGGTGATTATTCTCTGTGATTTTTTTTATGACATTCATTTGGTCTATACTGGATTACTGGTTCATATGCAGTTCGAATTTACTACTAAAAGAAATAAACAGAGCCTCAATAGCTTAAAGAATTTTATGTTATGATGTTGATGGACCTTTTCACCTCGGCTGCATTAGTTTTGAGGAATATTCTTTACCCGTTGATGGTTATTTCACATGTTCACTTGCCTTGTAGCTTGTCACACAAACCTTCTTCACACCTATGATCTTTATGGAACACACTCATCAGCTTTGAAGAATATCTTTGCAAGTTCATGATTACCTCCTCCCTTGGCCCCAAAATTCACTGTTTTGAAACTAATTTTGTTCCCAAATGGAGACTTATCTTTTTGAAAAGTTTACACACACAGTCACACACACACACATTAATATACAAATATATAATAAATGTAGTTTTTGCATATATCAAACAACTTAAGTATGTTAAACATAGTTAACCAACAAATTGGTTAACAAATAAATATAATTAACTTCACATGTTTACGGTAGAATGTGGGTATTCAACTTTGGTGGTTGATTCATAGGTTTAGTGTCTTGTCCATTTTCAGTAAATTTTTTTATCATGTGGCCACAACATAAATGCGCCATCGCCATGGAAAACTGCCTTGTCCTCATGGCTCTCGCCAGACGCCATGACAACTGTGTTCACTTTTGATTTTGCCTATTTAAGATGTATTTGATTTCTCAAAGTTGATTCCATTTTTTCCATGATGATTCATTTATTGACACAAACTATTAGGAAGCGAAAACTCATTCTCCTTTGGGAGAAGAGAGATGTAAGAATCAAATGTGCATGGAGTCTCCAGCTTGCTGTATCATTGCTGAGCTTTGTCAAGTATGTATATCCCCACCCTTCATCTGCGATCATATAATGTGGAACAAAAGGACTAAAAATATTATAAATATGCTCATAGCTATTATATCCCAGTTCTGAGGAGTAGAGGGTCTTGTTACCAGATGTTTAGGAGTAAACATTGTACAAATTGGGTATCAACATTTCCTGTACAATCTTATTTTGGCATTTGCTGTGTTTTTGAATGGTTTCTGGTATCAAATGCTAATTTGGGCAATATCTGTAAGCTGTAGGCATTGTTTGCTATCTCTTTAGTCCAAACCATTGATTTGAATTATATGTCGTGATTCTGATTTTAATAAATGTATCATAATTATTGAAACATTTTTTTTTGTTTGATTAAGCTTATCAGTTAACTCATGTAGGATGAATCCATTAGCAAATTGGCTGACCAACTAACAAAGGTTCCAAAAGCAGTCACCTGGGCGGAAGAATTCCTAGCATCTCTTAAGGATGATGTTCCGGTAAAGTATGCTCACTATTTCAAGTATATTGAAAGACATAGGTGTTCAGCAATGGAGTTTTGGTTTGAGCCTGTCATTATCCTGCAGCTGATTAAGGCATTGAAGGAGGTATTCTGCTATCATATCAATTTCTGCACCAATAATCACTTAATTAATGATTAACCATTTTGTTTAACAGTCAGCCCCCCTAGTCAATGTTTTTCACAAGTATTCAAAAGGAGCACAGCTTTTACGATGTCAGGAACGAATGATTCGTATAAATAAAGATCGTTTGCTGGGGTCGGTTGTTGAGAGTGATTTTGTTAATAAGATGAGGTTTGTGTACTCCAAGAGACGCATGATTTGTTATGTGGTAGATCTATGTCTCTTAGAAGCAAGAAATGTGGTTTAGTGCAACTGTTAGTTTATTAGGTTCACAGATTCATTATGTTGGTGTATTGACAAACTAATACTACTCCCAAAATAGTCAATGTATGCTTTTCATTTTTCATGTCATACAAGCGCACAACTCTCCCTAAGTTGGAGCATATACTTTGGATTAATTAAACATTGCCATAGTTGTTACGGCGTCGCGTATGTGCCGACTAGTAGTCCTTGCGGTGGAGGAGTGACGCCGTGATCAACCGACTCGGGTGAAGCTGTCAAGACGTAACTGCTGTCAAGACGTAACTTGGCGTTGATTAGACGTCTGGAAGTCGTCATGGCGACACCCAGGTCCAGTATTCACTGACTGGCACGTCAACCCGAACCCTAGGCCCTGCAACCCGTCGGCCAGGTCATCACCTCTGACACCACTGCTGGTTGACGCCGCCAGTCTGGCTCCATCTCTCGCTTGTTCCTGATTTTGTTAGTCACTGCCGTCCTTTGGTTTATTCTACTTTGTTTGTCTGAACTTATCTTTTAATCTTTAGCCCGTGTTATACGGAGTAGGGGTTTCTTACTGGACACTTTTTATACACAGCTGGAGTCCATCTAGTATTTTATTTCCATCCCTTTGAATAAATGTCTGCTGCACTGGCATTGTTGTGCAGATTATTACCTTTGTGGAAATTTATATTGGACATTTGTTGCAGATAAATGATTAAATTGTCAAATAGGTCCTCGAACTTTCATAAAAAAGTCAATTAAGTCCTTTTATAGGAGACTCTGTCTCGTCGTCGCGATTTGGGGCGGTTCCCCGTGGAATTTTTTGATGAAATTTTTTGAGCATCTTATTCATCAAGTCTAGTTTACTCATACCAAATTTCAGCTAAAAATTCAATCGGGAGCGCATTCAAATTAATTCGAGAACGCAAAAATGCGCAGTTATCTTCAAGAATTAATTTGAATGTGTTCCCGATTGAATTTTTAGCTGCAATTTGGTATGAGTAAACTAGACTTGCTGAATAAGATGCTCAAAAATTTTCATCAAAAAATTCAACCGGGAACTGTCCCAAATCGCGACGGCCGGACAGAACCTCCTATAGAAGGACTTAATTGACTTTTTTATGAAAGTTCGAGGACCTATTTGACTGTTTTCCCTTTAATTTATTTCCTAATTTTAATTTTTGATTTTATTTATTTATTATTAATATATTATTTCATTACATATGTATATAGTAATTATAATAATAATAATATTATGTATGGAGCGACTTGCCGCCAGGTTGGCACCTAGATGCCTAGGCCATAAGGCGGTTCACTGGCGCCTCACCTCGCCTTGCCTAGCCGCCGCGACGACAATGAACATAGCATGCTGTGTAACTTTTTTTTAAAATATTTTGGTGAGGTATATGAAGTAACATTCGTTTGACCTATGTGGATTCTTCTTTGTAGACAAAAATGTTTGAACCAGCTTTGTTTTCTGGACACTATGGAGAAGTACAGATGCTACTGACAAAAGATCTAATCAAAATAGTCTAATGCTTTTGCTAGCTTTTTATCTTATTGCACAAAGTGGATGTGTTGAAACACATGTTGGAACCTTTTTGGTACTTGAATTAATGACTTACATATGCGTTGGAAACTATGCCCTTGAACCGATGTTCTTTCTCAATTTTCAATTTTGAATTGCACATTTTATGAGTTGCAGCTCCACTTTATCCATTTGGACATCCATTCTCTTTATTGATTACTACTTTATGTTTTTCTTTTGAAGGAAAGCCTTGAGTATTCTATTCGGGTACTGGAGTGATAAGGATGTGACTCTGTTGTTTTCAATATTATTTTCTCTTAGAGGTGAAAAGGAGACATTTGCTGATGTTGACTTGACAGAAGAGAGTGTTCAATGCCTTTATTATTTGACCAATGATTGTGGTGATGTCGAGGTATTGCTCTTGTAGTTATTTTAATAAGTAGTATGATTTTATGTTGTACTAAAGACTTCTCCTGTTTTTTTATGTATCATTTCTGTCTTAGAAATTTAGTCTTGAAAGTGTTTTTCCTAATGCATCTTATTATTTTCAATGACCAGGGTTTGAAGAATGTGCTAGCTGATAACTATCGTGAAGATTCGGCAGAGTATATTGATCTATTTGAAAAGGTATGATACACTACAATCGTCCATTGTTGTGATAAATTATGTTGCCTTGAAAGCACTAACCTTTTTCTCCCTAGATAGAAAAAAAATGATCTGCTTCTTGAAGTGTATCTTGAGAAATAGTTTTGATGATAACTATGATGTTATAGATAATATTATCTTAATATTTAATGATTAAATTGTTATTTAAGAGTGTTAATTGTTTTCTAAATTTGAAAATGGGAACCTTCAGTTGGAATGTCCAAAAAAGGATAGTGAGAACCTTTGAATGGAAGACAAGAAGTACGGAATAGGAAACAGTTACAAACTGATATTGATATACACCATAGTAACAATGCTAATACTATCCACCATGTATTCATTGGGCAATTCTTCAATTCAATTCAAACATGACAAAGTTTGCTATTTGTCTTTCATTTCTCATTAAGTTCATCTATATAATTAATATAATATAGTAGTTCCTGCTACTTTGTGCTCTTCTTATGGAAGCAGCTACGTGCCTACGTCAGTTCATGTTTTTTTCCATTATTATTATTGCTTCATTACATTATGCCTTTTAAGAATATTTAAAGTTATCATCGTTGGACACTCCTTAAAAATATTATTTAGTTTTGGCCTTGTTTGGTATCAACTTCTATTTTATATAGACCTAAATATGAAATTCTGAAAAACTGGAAATAGTATATTTGTGCTCTTTTGGTGAACAAGCAGCAAAAATATAGTTATTGGAGTAAATAAAATAAGCTAATTAAGCCCTAAATTTGAGCAAGACTGAACAAGTAGTAATAACGGCCATCATTAGAAAATACCGTTAATTATGGCATTATTACTGTAATATTTAGGTATGATAATGTCAAAATTCAATATGATTTCAAGATTATCGGAATTTACTTCTCTTTCAGGGAAAAGCGTAATAATTAGAATTTTACATTATTTTTACCCCTATTATTGTAAATTACCTTGAATAAATTATTTTGTAAAAAGAAAATTGTAAACCCGCAACAATTTTGAGCAGGCTAATAAAATTTCAGTTTCTTATATTTGTCCGTTGCAGATTAGGAGTAAGGAGCAAAATGCTATGAAGCTTGATAATGATACGGATCTGGCCTATATCGTAGTCATATTGAAGGGGGGTGACATACTTTATTTCAAAAAGACTCCATGCGGAAGAACGATGTGACATACTACGTACTTTATTTGAAAAAGACTCCATGCGGAAATTAATTTAAAAAAGACTCCTGCTTTGTGATATTACGTTGCTAAAGTGCTAAACTAATGCCAAATAGGACAATGCTAATTCTAGTTGTCTGATGTCTAGTTGAACAATAGGTTTTTTTTTTTCATTATGTTCATCTTTAAACACAGATGCGATACGTCTCTTTTGTGAATTTGGCAAAAGCCGTTCTAAAGACAAACATAATGAATATATACATAAAATAGAGAGTTGAATGATGAGTCGTTCTAAAGATGAACATAATGAACATATGTACATGTTTATAATAATTTAAGCAAAACAATAAATATATTTTTTCCACACCAGGGGGCGTCGGGGGAGAGGGTTTTTCGGGGGGCATGGGGTAAACTGGAATCAATGTTACTTCATTGAGAATTGAACTCGAGAGCTCCCATAACGGAGAGTGCGTCGACGATCAGTTGGACCGGACCGCTTCCTTTAAGCAAAACATGACATACGGCCGGAGCCTTATGTCTTGGTTCAAATAAATAAAATGCATATACGGACATACGGTTACATATATCCTTTTTAGACTTTGAGGTAAAGTCGAGCAAGTTAAAGTTATGCGCATATCAAGCAAGGAGCACTATTGGTCTATGTTTAGTAGTATTGCGATTAAGGGTGGACTCGGTTCGGGCCTTGAACCGGCCGGGCCTCGGTTCAAGGTAGGGTAGGCCCGGAACCGGCCCGGGTAACCCTCGAGTCCAGTTCGGGCCGGGCCCAGTTCGGTTCTATATAATTTTTTTTTTGGGGTTTCCTAATCAACCCCCTACCCTCCCCCTCAACCCCAAGCCACCCCAAACCACCTCAAATGGCCCAAAATACCCAATTCAACCCAAAAACTTAAAAAAAATTCAAAAAAAAAAAATAAATCCGGCCCGGACCAGGCCCGAACCGGCCGGGCCGGTTCACCAAAATGAAGGCCCGAGCCCGGAACCGGTAGCCACCGGGCCGGGTCGAACCCAACCGCCCATGGGCTGGGCCGCCGGGCCGAGTCCATCCCTAATTGCGATTGACTATTCTCATTTAGGTTTAGGTTTCCCATTTGTGTACCTTAAGTCTATTTTATGTGATATAAACATTGCAATAGTTTGTAGAAGCTGAAAAGTTGCAGGTTGTGAATTTAATATCAAAATATAAACTTGTTTTTAAATTTAGCCAATTATGAGCACACAATTCATCAACCAAGGCATTTCTTTAACAAATGGGTCATTATACTATTATAGGTCATTCAACCTATATAACCAATAACATCAAAATGAGAGTGAGAAAGATAGGAACTTTTTGAAAATAGGATTAGGAATTAGGATTACCAATAACTGGAAAACGACAACAAATTGGCACTTTCCCAAGTTCATATGACTGCACACAATATACGACTTAGAATATATGACTACACACGATATTTTATCCCAAGTTCAATATGGAGATATCAGACACAGCTCAGTGGCTAAAATGATAGGAGAAACAGAAACACCGGCACAACTCTCCTTTTCAGTGAATTGCAAGGTAGCCAACTTAGAAGCCATCCTTTCATCCTCCTAGATTCATAACGCTGAAAACATATAAAAATAATCAATCACAAGCTACGCTAACAAACGAGGCAGCACACTGATAAAGATATGTTGAAAACGGAGTATGATACAAAATTGCCCTTTGCATTAAGCAATTACTCCCGCTCTTCTTATGTGTCATTTTAAGATTTAAAGGTGAAAAAATGAAACTAACTGTCCTTGGTTATTTGATTTATTTAAGATACTCTATAATATAAGCTTATACTTAAATAATTAAAAAATAACTCCCTATTTTATGCTCAATACTAAGCTCACAAAAATGGGTAATGAGGGGGCTATTAAAGACAATTGGATTTTTATAACTGACAATACAGATACCTCAACAATATCCTTTCCCAACCACGAGCATAAGTAATAATCGTCTTTCAATTCCTACCATGAGAGTCATAAGTGTATAAAACTATATAGCAGTGTCCAATGTAGAACTTAACATCCTCTTTAGGAACCAGAATCTTTGCACGACCATTTACGCACCAAACCTGATTCCAAGGTTGCATTATTAGTTCTATGTATCCTCTTAATATTCATGAAGAGATCAACAATTGTCGCCGGTATAAAATGCAGGTGCACAAAGCGTCCCCTCGAGGAGGGTAGGCAGGGCTTGCCTAGGCCAGGCCGGTATAATGAATTTATTAAGATGAATTTTCACACAAAATGTTTTTATATTAAGAATTAAAAATCAAATTTGGGGTGGGTCAGAGCATAGGTTGGCCCCCAAACATCTGCCGCTGGTCTCCTCATAGAGAGGATCAGGAGGATCCCACCACAAGGGTGTGATGTAGGCAAACCTTATCTTCTATGGCTCAAACCCATTACCTCAATCAATGCGTCAAGGCTCCCCTTTAGCTATCCCTAATATACAATAACAAATAGATAACACAACCCCTTATTCCCCCTGCGTCTAGCAAAAGGGGCCATTCCTCATTTATTGAGTCACTATTGTCTGCACTTTTGCGTTGTTCCTTGAGCAAAGCTAAAGGGAAGAAGACACGATAGCTTACAGTAGCTTATGCATACAAAGTTACAAACAACACAACAACAACCACAATCAAGCTTTACTCCCAAAAGAGTTCGGGAGCGACTAACACGAATCAACATATGATCTCAGAGTAAAAAACAATATGTAGAGAATGAAGGAAATGAACACACACACACACACACACATTCAACATTCTATATCACACTTGGTCATACATACAACTTTTCCTCTTCCCTCCTCGAGGCGGGTACTACCCCAGATGGTCAAGAATCAAACTTGGACCCGAATGAATGAGTCTCATAACCAGATAACCTTGAATAAGCCGAGTGATACATGTCGAATTGGGTCTGTCCTGAGAAGCTAAGAATACATCTAGATAACATTTGGTATAATGGTATTAGAATCTCTATGACCTTTAGTAGTAAAGGTCTGTTTTAACTTCATATATTCTTCAAATAGCTACAGTGATTATTGAGATATTATTAATTAGCTAAATTATTAGCCTTTATTTTTCATTATTGAATATGTAATGTTTGGTGTTGATAAGATAGACATACGTGGTTGCATGTCATACATATGGCCCATGCACCACTTCCATCCCCTTTCCCATATCATTTGCTTGTAATATATATGTGTGTAATTCGTATATTCAATGTAAGACGTGCATGCTAATATACTATGTTCATCTCACTTTTACTCGAGGCTTTTCTCATTTTCAACAGTTTCGTACTTTTAGAATATTTCACAATTTTATCATGGTATCAGAGCCGAAATCCTGGAAAGAAGAATTCTAACTTTTCATTCCTTACGTTCAAATAATTCTCCTATATCCGTGTTAGGCTATGGAGGTTGGTGATGTCATCATTAAGCCCATATATGAAAATATGGGTTGTTTTTCTTCTACTGCTCAAGTAAATATAACATGCACATCCACACATGTTTATCCTTGGATAATTGATTCCGGGGCTACTGAGCATATCACTTGTAGTGATATTAATCTTTTTAATATTATTAGTCACGTGGCGGAATCATCGGTCAAAATTCCTAACGGTGAATCAATTCCAGTTCATGCTGTCAGAAGCTTATACTTACCCTATGGGATCTGTCTTGAACGTGTTTTATACATTCCAAAATTTCAGTGCAATTTACTTTTTGTCAGTCGCTTAACAAGCGATCTGAATTGTACACTGACATTTTTTTCAGATTTCTGTATTTTTTAGGACGTACCCTCGAGAAAGCTAATTGGTGTGGGTAAATCTCATGATGGGCTCTATTACTTGGAGCCTTTGAGAAGTGAAAGGGTGGCAATGTCAGTCTCTATTACCTCCGATTTATGGCATCAACGTCTGGGACATGCATCTGATGGAAAATTACAACACATTAGTTCTCTCAAAGGTTTTCAACAAAGTGGTAATTTTTGTGATCCCTGCGTGTGGGCAAAGCAGACTAGACTTTCTTTCCCTACAAGCAAAATCAAGACAACTCGTAGCTTCGAATTAATACACTGTGACATTTGGGGAGGCTACAGGTGTGATTCAATTTCCGGAGCACGGTATTTTTTATCTATTGTTGACGACTTTACTAGAGGTGTGTGGGTTTATTTAATGAAAAATAAATCTGAAGTTGCTCAATTTTTAATTCAATTTTGCAACATGGTTGATACCCAATTTGAGAAAAAGGTCAAACGAATACGGGCGGATAATGGTGTAGAATTTCAAAGCAATCATTTATTTGATTATTACCGTCGCTCTGGGATAGTATTAGAAACCTCTTGCACAGACACACCCCAACAAAATGGAGTTGTAGAGCGTAAGCATAGACACATATTGGAAATTGTGAGGGCCCTACGTTTCCAGTCTGATTTGCCTATTGATTTTTGGGGAGAGTGCATATTGACGGCAGTTTACATTATAAATAGGCTACCTTCACCAGTTATTTTTAACAAAAGCCCTTATGAAATGTTATTTGGAAAAACTCCTAGCTATGATCATTTGCGGGTGTTTGGGTGTTTGGTATATGCCCATGATAACAAACGAAAAGACAAATTTAGCGAAAGGGGATGGAAGTGGTGCATGGGCCATATGTATGACATGCAACCACGTATGTCTATCTTATCAACACCAAACATTACATATTCAATAATGAAAAATAAAGGCTAATAATTTAGCTAATTAATAATATCTCAATACTGATATGTAAGAAGAATTGATTAGAAATGAATTTAATTCATAAATTTATATTATAAGAGTACGTAAGGCCTATTAGTTTAAAATGTGAGCATGGAATTCCAAGGTGCAATCCAGTAATTAATAGATAATGTGAGTGGAATATATGTGAGTAAACTTAGGTCAAAAGGCTTTAGGCCAACCTTTAAAAAGTACTAGTATACCATAATTTGTTTACTCAAGTATACCATATATTACCTCCGTTCTTAAATAAGTGCAACATGTGAAATTTTACACTATTCATATGTTATGCTTTGACTACATTTTATTTATTGATGTCT